CTGCTGCTGCTGCTCAGCCCAGTTGGGTGAGTGCGGGGTCAGGGCTGCGTGCACTCATCCCCACCTGTACTGCGGGGCTGGGGCGGGGCGGACTGGGAGTGAGTGGGCACATGGGAGGCAGCGACAGCTGGATGGAAACGCAGGGCCCATGCTGGTGTCCCAGGGCCCGTGTCAGTGAGGCCCACAGCGGGGTGGCAGGAGCATGGGGTCCCAGCTAATGGGCTGTATGGAGCTGGGCCAGCTCCCCTCTTTCGCTGCCGGTGCACCTCAGCCCGGCTCCACAGAACCCTGCCAGCCTGTGCCCTGCGTTCCTGCCACCCCGCTCTGGGCCCCACCTGCACTGGCCCTGGGACACCAGCATAAGCCCTGTACTCCTGCACACCTGCTTGCTTCCACTCCCCCCACCCCTGCTGCTGCTTTCCTCACTTGCCTGCCTGCCTGCCAGCCGCTCTGCACCACGCAGCTCCCAGCTGCATGGCCAGACCATGGGACTCAGCAGGAGCCGGCCCAGCCCCAAGAACTGGAGTGATCACCCTCAATCCTCCCCTGCCTTCCCACCCCCACCCATTCTTACTTGAATTTCCCGCTCCCGTGCAGGGAGGCCCAAACAGCCCCACGATCCCAAGCCAGAAGCTCCTCCTTGACCCTTGCTGTTTGGAGTCCTGCTGTGGCTTCCCCTGGGTCCCACTTCCCCTGGTTCCTGCCATTTTTGACAGGCAACCTGGGGCAGATAAATATTCTCTAAATTTTTTAGGGGCCCCACAGCCCAGATAAAATGGCCTGGTGGGCCGAATGTGGCCCACGGGCTATATTTTGTCCACCCCTGGGCTAGAGGAATCTGCTAGAACCCTGCCTGAGAATCCAATTTTGCGAAACCTTTGGCTCCCGCACATGGATGACTGGTGCCTTCTGAGTCGGGGGGGCACATGACCCCCCAGTGGCCCGTCAGTGACCAGGAGGGAGGGGTTCCCCTGCGGATGATCTCACTGATGGGGTGGGGGCGTCCCGGAGGTGTGAGTGGGGCACACGAAGTGCCAGCGGTGCTTCTCCTGGAGCTTCTCCCCAGATGGTGCTCGTGGCGGGGGGAGTCTCCAGCGCTCCCGCCTGCCCCCCCTGCTCATCACCCAAGGAGGGAGTGCTGGCTGTCAGGGAGTGCACCAGTGCTCTCAGGGGGTGCACATGCACCTCCGTGCACCCCTTATGCGTTGCCACTGCTTTTGCAAGTTGAGTCAAGGTGTGTTCCATGGAAGGAAGAATGTGTCTTTTTCTGTGCACATACTTGTTCAGGTGTGTGAGGTCAACACATATCCTAATCTTACCACTGGGTTTTGTTACAACCACGATCCTAGAAAACCAAGGATTAGGTTCTTCAGTCTTTGTAATTACTCCCATTTCTTCCATGCATGTTAGCTCTTCTTTAACTTTGTCCATTTGTGGCAAAGGTACGCATTTTGGAGTAGTTAATGCATATGGAATGGCATCAGCTTTTAGGTGTATCTGATATTCACCTGACATTTTTCCCAGACCAGAAAAGACTGATGGGTATTTGGGTTTGTAGTACTGCTCCAAGGATTTCTGGTCCACTATTTCATTTAGTTGATAGAGAAGTTGCAGTGCCTGTATAGCCAGTAAGTCAAGTACAGGCACAGCAAGACTACCAACCACATAGACTTCCTGGTCTATACATCTCTACTTCAGTGTCATCTTGCATTAAAGGATCCTAGTACTTTAAGGGTAGTTTCACCTGGTCCCTGTAGCTGTTTAGCAGGGGTAAGGAGAATCCCATCCCTATGTGGGCTGTAGTAAGTCAGGGATAACTGAGACTGCTGCTTCTGTATCTATTTTAAATGGCATTGGCTGTCCATTGAGCTCAATTTCTGTCATCCAGACTCCTGGATCTGGTGAAGACCCTGTAACTTCATCTGAAAGCACTGCGCAATCCTCTGCCTCCTGTTCTGTGACTTCACAGACTCCAGTGATGGAGACAAACTGAAGAATAGTGGCTTTCATTTTTACATTGCCAACATATTTATTCTGTAGCAGGACCATGAGCATGACTATATCCTGGAGTTTGCCCACACCTGTGGCATTGGCCTCCTTTCCCACTTGTTTGTCATTGTGGGTGCTGGTGGGACCACTCCCTGTGTACATTGTGCCTGTCAGTTCTATTTGAATTTGTCTGTAGTTTCTTTACAATGTGCATTACATCCATATTAGCTAATGCCTGACAGAACTGAGAATCAGTCCTGATTTCTCTTTGTTGCTGTTTAACTGGCTCTGATTGGTGAGCCTGTGGGACAGCCTTCTAGAGTGTTAGATCAGGGTCCAACTGTAATCTTTGTGAGAGCTCTGTATCATGAAGTCCCACAACTAAGCGGTCCCTAATTATCTTCTCCTTAAGCTCCTCATCTTGGCAGGATTCTGCCATTGTATACAAAGATGTGATGAATCTGTCTATAGGTTCTGAATGCTCCTGTTTACAGATGTTGAATCTAGCTCATTCATAAATCACATTTCTTTTGCCCAGAAAATAATCAGTTAATGCTTCTATCATTGCAGCATAGTTTTTTCTCTGCATCTGTAAGAAGCAGTGACAGCAGAATTTCATCCGCCTGATCTCCTCTGAAGCAATTAAAATGCCTGATCTATCGAGGCTACATTCCAGGGGATTGGAAATCAAACTGTTCTTGTGGTGCAACTGAATACCTGCATGGTCTCTGTAGTCAGCCTCAGCACTGTACTGGGCTCTGCTGCAGGTAGAGGTGCCCGGCTCTGCTTTGCGCTGGATTCAGATGCTGCTAGAGTCAGATCCATCAGTTGGGAATCACCTATTAGATTTCCTGTTGGTGGCAAGATTCACCACTTCTCACACCATGTATTATTCTAGATCTTAAGAAGAAGCAGTCCCTTTTTGTTCTTGTTAAACCTTTATTGTAACAACTAACCCCTGACCCCAAATGGTCAACTGACCCTTTCCTGTGGATGATATCACTCTTTAGTAAGGGAGATAACGCTTACTAGTATTAGATGGGTGCCAGTTCTGTGGGAAGCAGCCAGGTCCTGCCCATGGAAAGAGCGCCCATCCCAGGTACATGTGGGCAGTGGATCACAGCTGGCCTGAGCCCTGGCCCTGCGCTGTCACCACCTTGTGATTTGGACCTCATCCCCTTGCCCATCCTGCTCTTGGCCACTGCTCCCCTTTTGCCCATGGCCTCGTTCCATTTACCTGGCTGAGCACACCCTGCCTGCAGGAGTCCCAGGCTGGTCTCCATGGAGACCCTACCCACCAGCTCTGTCTGGCACCCCTGGTGGTAGCTGTGGGATGGACAGGATGGGATGCCCAGGCAGCAAGGCTGGGTCCAGCAGCAGTGGTGGAGACACTGGCAGAGGCACTGGCAGAGGCAGTGAGTGTGAGAATGAACCATTGCTGCAGGGACTGCCGAGAAGCCGAGACTGGCCACCATGCTGCCCAGCAGGCTACAGCTCCTGCTCTGTCCAAGAGCTGGGTGCAGGAGGTAGGGCAGGCTGTGCATCATGCCAGACAGCACCTCTGTGCCCAGGAGCAGGACTGGCTGTACACACCACAGCCTGGGCTGCCCTGCCTGCCTGGGCCAGGTGGGGCTGAGGGACCTGCCACAGACTGGATAGAATCACTTGGCAAGCCAAATTTGGCTTGTGGGCCATATTTTGCCCACCCCTGGACTGAAAAACATCTTTTCCTTTGCAGAAGTCAGTATTTTGAAAGTCTAAGGAGTTACTTACTGGCCATAAAACATTGGCTTGGAGTATTTAGAGTAGTTTTAGGCAGTAGGAAGGAACCCAATTAATTTTACAGAATGGCTAGCTAGTTCAAGTATACGCTGGCTGATAAATTTGAGGTTATTGGATAAAGCAGGACTTGGGGGCATATGGGGATGATACATTTAAGTATAATTAATTTTTTAAATCTTATTTAAGTCATACAATTTTAATTATGGATTGTTGCACAGACTAGGAAAGAAGAGACAGGAGATCTAGTGGTGAGGAAATAAAATCCTGTGTAACCATTTCTAGTTATGGATTAAATATGAAAAGTAGAATTAGAGCACCCATCTGTCCTTTCCAGGGCATTCAGTTGTATTTATTTGACATACATGCTGTTTTTCCTAACAAAGGCTCAGAAAACAGAAGAACTTAAAAACAGAAATTTGAGATGACCAAAACAGTTTAGAAGGGTACTAGCATATCAAGATACAACAGGGTCTCAAACAATATCCCATGCTAGCTGTGTTTGGTAAATACCTGCCCGAATAGCGCTTCTGAAAGACATCCAGGCTCAGGCTGTAGCAGGCTTCAAGGGGGTGGAAGTTTCAGAGGTAAGGAGCAACTACAGGGAACTACCTTTCATGTTTTCAATGAACAGACTTGTTTTGCTGATGGTACTGGCAGGAATTTGCTCTTGGCTGACCTTAGCGATGGGGTGTAAGGGGGAAAAGTGGTCCCTTGGGTATATAGTATCTAGACCATTTAGTGCTTCATAGGTCAAACTAGCACTTTTAATTATACCCATCTACATTTTTTGTTCAGTTTTTTTGGGTGGGGAGAAGGAGCAGGAGCATTGTTTCTTCTGGAACATTCAAGGGATTAAATAAAAGGTTGGGGAGAAGCAGCAGAGGGAGGAAGAGAGACTGGCTTTTTGTTTTGCAATATTCAAGAGATTAGATATAGGCTAGAGTTGACAGGGACAAACTGTTCTGTACATGAAGGACCCATGTATGAACTCCTCTTTCCTGTGTTTTTCATTTAACATTTTCAATAGAAATGTCCAAATAAGGCTTTTATTGCACACAAAGTAGTGTCACCAAAGCACTTTTAAAAGGTGAAACATCACTAAAGTTCAAGGAAAAGAAAATCAGCTGTAAAGACATTTAACAAGAGGCTCTTGCCTTGGAGGAAATCTAGGAAGGTTAAGAGCATCCACGACAGGAAAAAAACTCAGAGATAGTAACAGGAGACAGGTGTGAGACTCATAAGGTTTATTAAACTTGCTTAGAATATTTTATATTACATTTGAGACTAGATCATTTCCCTCCAGCCTTGGAAGGAATGCTATAAGAACATTTATTTAACATGAAAGGAACATGACGCGGTGACCAAGATGCTCAGTATTTGCCGATGGCACAGGGCTCCACAGCTCTGCCAAGCAGCAGTAATGATCAGAGACAGGAGGCTGGCATTCTCCAGTCTCAGGGAATGTCAGCTCCAGCTCACCCCCAGACTTGCTCAGGGGCAGACCATGCTTTAAAAAGAGACAACACAGCATTTCTGCTCCCTGGGGAAAAGGAGTTCCACAATAAAATAAATATGGCTTCAAAGCAACCTTCCAACCCCCAAACCTTCTGATGTGTTATGAGCAAAGCAGCCAAGAACCTTGGCATTTACTGGAGGAAATCTTTGCAAATCCTTCCGTCAACCAAAATCCAACAGACTAGCAGATGTGGGTGGCTGAGAGGACTTCAGGGCTGGCATGTTCGCTTCTTGATTTCTTCAACAAGATTTTCCCTACGAATATCAACCTGGAAAAAAAAAAGAGAATAAAGCCACTCCCTGACATGCTAAAGCATTCCCCCCGGAACCTTCTTTTTCTACCCCATCCAGTAAGACACCAAATTATACTTGCTGCCCCTTGTTGCAAAGACATAACAACAATCCACCTTCCCAGAAGTACCTGGAAGCTGGTGATTATTGAAGCTGTTTGTAACAAGCTGCATCAAGTCACCTCCTGAAGGGCTCTGCATCAAGCTCTATCAGAAAGCAAGTCTGGTTCAGTACCCATCTTACACAAGCACCTCTGCAGAATGACAGGCATGGGAGCTCTCCATATGAACCCTGAGCTAGAGAGGTTGTTACCTTTTCCTTGGGATTCCAAAAGCCCTTTTTTCCTAGACTGCTACACAAAGAATGCTCTTACTCCTGTATCAAAAACAACATTCTCAAGCTTCCAGTGAGCTTTTTAGGAACCAGTTCAAAGGTATCCTCCTGTCACACAGAGAAGAGGCTTTTAAGAGGATCCAGGCTAAATATCATCTATAACAGGTCATTTACTCCCAGCTGATCATAATTAGCATGGGTTGGTGAATTATCAGATTCAGGGGAAGGAGTGAGATTTCTCTAGAAGACTGGGAAATCATTTTCCATGACCAGGCCTCAAGGGTTTTGGCCCTTCATGCCAAACTAGAAGAGGAAATACAGGAGGAAAAGCCTGGCAAGTTGCAGAACAACCCCACCACCAAGCTGTGGTGCTTCTTGATGACAAACTCAAGCTGAGCTGGACCTACTCACAAAATATTGATGACATTTGCATAATGCAAGAGGATGCAAGTTTGTGGCTGGACCTTCTGAAAAGAAATGAGGCATCACTTCCAGGTTATTATATTTATGATGATTTTAAGCAGGCTTCTATTTGTCTGGTATGGCACTGTGGAAAATATCTATCCTTGATTAATTAGTATAGTTAAAATTTCTTCTGCAATTAACTTATATGTAGGAAGAGACATTCTCTGTATAGGCCTTGATAGATGTCTCCTCCCGATTTACTCTCGTTTTACCTCAGTGGTTCCCTTGATCTTCCAAGGATGACTCCTCAAAAACCTTGCATTTTTCCTGCTTACTAATCAATTTCCTGATATTTTCCAACTTGGTAGAAATGGATAACCTCTTGTTACTGAAGAAGGTTAAATTCAATCAAAATTGGGACCTTTCTGTCATGGAGTGGGGCCTATGAGCAGCCGTGATCCCACTAGCGCCCCCTTGTTGTGGCAGTTAGGAGATCAGCACCCTCTTATTCTCGCCCGCCACATCTTTGATCTTATATAAGGTAATATGGGAGGCTGCCTACGATCTCCTGTGATCTTAGGGTGACTTGGTGCACCCTAGCCTTATGGGCTATGCGTGCCTCCTACCTCCCCTTTAGCACACCCCAAGGCTTGCAGCTGTTCCTGATGTTCTTGTGTCTCCAAACTTCCGGTAGCCCTCCCCGGGCTTCACTCTTACCAGCTGGCCCCCCCAGGGCCTGTGCCATGTGCTTCCTACGCTCTTGCTCCTCTTGCCCCTCGCTGGGGGCCTTTGTCTGCGCTACGCGTGCCTGTGGCTTTCCCACTAGCCGGTCCCGCACTCTCGTGCCCGTGGCTCTCCCAGAGCCTGCTTCCGCCCGCTCGCG